GTATCTCATTGTGGTTTTGATTTACATTTTCCTTATGACTAATGATGCTGAGTGAAGTTAGTTTTTAAGAACTCAATTCTTTAGAATGTTTTATAACTTTGATTATAGTCCATTACTTTCCCAAAGGCATTCCCATTCATGTTGGAATAGGCAATCACTCTATTTCCTAGTACGAAAAGGCAACTGAGGATGGCATAAATATTTGAGTGGCTAATGGGAAACAGGAACAACAGATCTTTGCAGTTTCGGGCCAAGAAAATGGACTGAGGAGGAAATTAAGAGAGAAACATATTAGGTCCCAAAAAACTGGGGAGATTGATGCTCATCCTGACTTTTTCTTGAGTAAAGTCCAGGCTTTCAGTTAACTTTTCATCTTCATCATCAAATTATTTTAATTCAGAGTAACCCTGCTCCAAAACACTATCTGTATTCTAACTCTTCTACTCTTGTGCCTACTAATTTTTAGGTTAATAGAGTCATAAGAAAATAGTTACTAGCCTCGTCATCAAGTAACCACTGGAGTGTTCAATTACTATATCATGAAGCTAGTATTTAATAACTTCAGGTACCTGTCATGCTCCCAGTCCCTTTCTTGAGGAAAGAGGTGCTCACCTGAATGTAAAATTTCTTTTAAGTCTTGTTTTATCATTTAAAAAAGCAAATTTTGCTTTTTTGTTATTCCATAATATATGTTTATTGTGGAAATGTCTCACATTGAATTACTTCTTCAATTAATGCCTAATCCCTTGCACCCAATAATCTACCAAAGTATGAGAAAACTTTGAAAGTTAAAAAAATCACTTACCATAAGAAAACTACAGAAAACTACAGAAAACCTTAAAAAGAAAGCTTTTGAGCTCTGGCACTACTTAAAGTAGCCCAAATAATAGCAGCATTTTTACCCAACATAAACTCTTGGGTATAACATAAGTCTCCTGTTTTTAAGTCTTTTATTCAGTTCCAAGAAGGAAATTTTAAAGACAGGAGAAAAGAAGAGAGGTTTCCTAGATAATATTATTAAATTATTATTAAAATAGTGAGGCTATTTTTTTTTTAACTCAAAGAACAGTTTTTATATTCACACTGAAAACCAGTCAGATTTGCTTCAGCCTCAAAGAGTGTGTTTATGTAAAATTAAATTAATGCTGGCAGTGAACTGTGTTTTTTGTTTTTTTTTTTAAGTTTATTGGGGTAACATTGGTTAATACAATTATATAATTTTCAGGTGTACATTATAATTTGACATCTATATATTCTATTGTGTGATTGCCACCCAGAGTCCCGTTTCCTTCAGCTACTATATATATTTGATCTCCTTTACCCACTTCACCCTCCCCCAACTTCCTTATATTTGGTAACCACTAGTGTGAGGCTATTTTCAAACATATCACAGGTGTTGTGCTAAAAAGACTCCTATTAAGGGTGTCCTAAAAGGTTCTCTCATTGGCTATGTAATAAAATTTATGCAACAACCAACCATGAATACATCCCCTCCTTCTCCTCCTTTTATTATGATGGAGTCATGACAATCATCAGTTAATTAAAACACTGGAAAATGCTTGAAGTCCATAATAACATGAGAGAGAAAAACAACTACACAAAAAAGAGGGTGAATAACGTTTTTTTTCCCTGCCATAATTAGTGAGTCATTATACATGTTTTTACTTGTCCTATTATTTATATTTTCTCATCCTATTATTTACATTTATATATGATTTAATTAATGTGCTTGTTTCCATCTGTACAATCTGAAAAGTATAAACTAGGGAACTTCAAAAAAGCCAGCCTCATAAAAAAGAAACAGTGTACAAACCAGGGAAGGACCCGTCATACTTGTGGCCTCACACAATAACCCAAGACAGAATGGGTATTCCACAGTTAGTACCGGCGGGCCCACACAGATCTAAGTAGACATAGAGTATGATAAAATAATAAATAAGCTGAATGTCCCAAAGAACTCACTGCATGTCAATCCATTATCACCTAGGAAATGAACATTTTATTAATATGTTAAACTCCTAATAATTATAAAGTGATATTAATTAGGAGGAGTTAAGTTTTTTAAGAAACACCACTAACCCAGGTCAATAATCTTCATGACAGCACGATGAGTTGTTAATGACATTGCAGGCCATGCAAAACTTAAAGCACACACAATGCCAATAAAAAAATGAGTTACAAAAATAAAAATCTATATTAAAAATATAGAACAAATATGAAAAGGAATGCAGCATAATGATCACTGGCTCAGGTTTAAATAATCTCATATTGTGCAACCAAGTCCCAGGCACTAACGAAGAATTAATTGAGAACTCAGCCTTAAAGCTAGTCTGTTTTTGTTTTGTTTTTCTCAAATTTGATTTTGCAATTTGTGAACTATCTCCTTTTATTTAAGTTTTGCTCGAAGTTTGTACATTCATTTTACGTTCCAATATACATAAATTTATATGAGCTCTTATTCTTATTATTTCCAATTTTTACTTTCTCTGGGTTTAATTGAGTATACTTTTCCTTAACTTCTTGAGATGAATACATAGATCATTAATTTTTCAGCATTCTTCTTTACTAGCATATGCATTTACAGCTATGTATTTTCTTCAGATTCAGCTTTACCAACACTCTACATTTTGATATATTTTCATTATCATTCAAAATATTTTTAATTTCCATTGCAATTTCTTCTTTGACTCACCAGTTATTTATAAATATTACTTAAATCTCAAATGTTGCAATATTTCTAATTATGTTTTGTTATTGACTTATAGCTGAATTCTACTGTGGTCAGAAAACATACAGTATTATTTCAATCCTTTGGAATTTATTGAAATTCCTTTGATGGTCCAGCATATGGTCAGTTTGGATAAATGTCTCATGTGCATCTGAAAATTACATATACTGTAGTTGTAAGGTACACTGTTCTACATATGTCAATTAGTCAAGTTTGTCAATCACATTGTTCAAATATATATAGTTTACCGAGTTTATATTGATTGTTCTATCAGCTATTGAGAAAAGTGCTATAAATCCCCTACTATGATTATGATTTGTCTACAACTTCTTTTAGTTCTGTCAAATATATTTGAAGTCATTTTATGAAGGTATATACATTTGGAACTGTAATATCTTGCTGGTGAACTAACCTTTTTATTATGAACTATTGCTCTTTATCTCTAGTAAAGCTTCTTGTCGTAAAGTTTATTATCATACAATGAAGTAAGGAGTATCAACTGATAACAACCATTTAGGAATACTGTCAGTGTATGTTAAAGCTGAATACATGCATAATCTATGACACGGAAATTTCACTCCTAGGGATACACCCAAGAAAAATGCATTCATATGTGCACCAAAAGACACATACAGTTATGTTCATAGCAGCTTTGTTCATAATAGCCCCAATCTGAAAATAACTCAAATGCCAATCAATAATGGAATGGATAAATAAATTGTGGTATGTTCATGCAATGGAATTTTAAACAGTAATAATACATTTAAGTTTCATTAACTACAACTATATGAAGCAACATAGATGAACCTCATATATTCATACTACATAATATTACATAGTACATTCGTGTTACATGACATTTAATGTTGAGCAAAAAAAGTGAAGCACAAAAGAGATATTGTATGATTCTATTTATATAAAAATTCAAGGACAAGAAAAATTAATCTATGGCTGTAGAAAACAGAATACAGTTATATTTGGGAGAGATGGGCAGTGAGTAGATTGGACAAGAATTAGGCTTCTGGAATACTAGTAATGTTCTATTTCCTGATCTGATTTGAGCTCTGGTTAAATATATGCTCACTTTATAAAATTCATCAAGACATATATTTTGATTTCTGTACTTCTGGGAAAGTATGTTATACTTTTAAAACCATATGTCAAAAAAAACCCCATATGTTAGCAGATTCATCAAAAATTAAAATGCCAAGTAACCAAGTATTAGAGAGAATACAGGATGACTGTGTTTATAAATTTTTGGTAGGAATTAACTGGTACAACCATATTGAAAATCAGTTTGAAAATATGTAGGAATTTGAAGATACACACATGTTCTATGGCCCAGCAATTCCATTCATATGTTTATACCCTAGGAAAGCATCCACATGTGCACTGGGATACTTATAAAAATATGTTCCGAACAGTTCTTTCAAATGAGCTAAAAACTGGAAACAACCAATGTCCAAACAACAAGGGTGATTCTAGGAAATATAGTACAGCATAAGAAAAGCAAGACTTAAAATATTACACAGCACAATTTCATTTCTATAAAGTTAAAAGGGAATACTAAACTATATCATTTAAGGATGTGCGTAGATGTATGGTAAACTATTTAAAAAAAAAAAAATGATAACAAAATAATTACCACCAAAGTGAGGATAAGGGTTACCTGCAGAGGTAAAGAGACTAGGTTTTTTCCTGTTGGTAGGACTAACAGGTTTCTGGAGTGTTGATGCAAGTTTTTGCTGTATATTTCCCTTTATAGCTACTTCTTAAAGCACATGTTTCTATTTTAAGCACTTCCAAATAAAAAAAAAAACTGTATAATAGCTACCATTTTTTTAGTGAAAACATAAGGTAAATGCTATTAAGATTCCAATCTTGAAATAATGTATATTACATGTGCATAGGAAACTTGTTAAAAGGAAATATCAAAATATTGACTGGTTATGCTCTTTCTAACTTCCTATTGCTCAAATTCTTTAAAATAATCATGTTTGTGTGTGTGTGTGTGTGTGTGTGTGTGTGTATGCACACGTATTTAAAATAGAAGCAAAAACTTAGTACACAGGAATAACTGAGCTATTTTCTAAATTAATATATGAACATTATGTAGAAGGAAATGAGGGTGTATACTGGAATCTGTGTCTCCACCTCTATGACTTCCCCATCATTTTCTTAAATGCAAATGTCTAGGAACCAGGTCACTTAATGAGTCTATGTTAAACAAGACCATCCAGTACAAGAGAGCAAAAAGGAAACCCCAGCACACCTTGTATCTGGCTTGGTCCACAGCCATTCTTCCGTCTTCTGGGGACTCTTTAAGGAGAAGATGTGAGGAAGAGGAAAGGAATCATGAGATGCCAGATTTTTCTTATGGCTCAGATCCACGCCTACCACCCATGGGGAGGTCAGAGGAGTTTAAGCTGTCCTGAGCATTTCTTGTGTCAGGGAAAAAGTCCGCTGTCCAAGACCAAAATTTGTCCTAACATCACATATTAACCACTGGGACACACACACAGTCACCTTGGCACATCTACGGGCACCCTCCAACCGCACACACAGCGCCACAAAATTACATTATCACGTTCACACATCCTCACAGTCACGGACACCCAGTACGCTTAGTGCTGCTAACATTCATACAACCACAATTACACACATGCAGCCCTCACAGAACACAGTCATAGCCACATAATCACATTCTCTACACCTCCTCTCCACCACAAAGCCACACGAAATTATAATGACACAGATAATCACGGTCCCATCACGGTGACTCAGTCACATCTACGCACACAGCGCCATCGTCACAATCGCACACCAACAATAACAGTGACACCTGTACACAGAGCTCCGCGCATGGTCACAGTCACAATGACACTCCTACCACAGGGACATGCAATCACACCCTCACACAGAGCGCCGCAGTCACAACCGTTCACATGGAATTCTACACTTCTTACCCCCTCCACCAGCCCAACCAATTCACGCAGGGCCGAGACTCCGGACCCGCCTGTACCGCCCCTTCAGACCCTCAGGACGCACCTGAGGAGCAGAGTATTGTCCCGAAGACCGAGACTGCTCGCTCACCTTGCACTCTTCCCCTTCAGGCGAGGCCCAGGATCCCACAGGCAAGGGAAGGGGGTGGGGGTGGGAGACCTGTTCCCGCCGGGGACCTCTGGGAAATGTAGTCCCGAGCTTATCTGTTTGGACAAGATGGCGCCCAGCTCTCCGGGTTTCCCCTTACTCCACGGTCTGGGCCAATCCTATAGCCCTGCTCCTCTCTCGGAATCGCAGCCCGAAATCTTTGAGATTCAAACGCAGGCTCAGAGTGATGCTCCCACACGAGGCAGATCTCACACCCTAGAGACAAGCTTCCTCCATAGACCCTGCCCATCTGGTGGAGTCATACGTTACCTGAGAAATAAAAAAAGATAGCCAGAGTCGCCCGGGAAGTTGATTAGAGCCGCAAGAACTTCTGGGAAATGTAGTCAAGAGCCGGAAAGGGTGAGGCGCCAGCCCAAGTGGAAGATTGGTTTAGCTGACTTCGACATTGCGCTTTCCCACAGGGATGAGGGGAGCTGTGCCTGAGACTCTTCTAGGAATTATAGCCCACTCTGCTAATACTTCGGATTAACTCGCCATTTTGGCTTTCGTCAGCGGTTGAGTGTTGGCGGGGGATCAGCACTGCTCAAGAAGTGAAAACCTGGGAGTCTCAGGGCACAACTGCACCAGGGAAACTGAAGGAGAGTCGTCCCAAAGCCCAGAATGGAGCTGGTGGGGGCGGGTTGAGG